CCACACTCTGACCACTCTGAGAGTTATCTAAGGAAAAACATTATCCTTTTAAACAACACTAGTATTGCTTCCCATAATCCCTTGCTTGGGAAAGAATGATAAAGAATAGAATAGCTTTGACACCGTCATAATAACTGCATAATCGTATAGCTTGTAGATAATGTTTAGGCCGCGGACTGTATGTAAAAGAGTGAACCTGACGGGGATCATATTAAATTAGTTATTGTGAGCAGAACAAAACACAGTGCCTTTGGTATAGGTAACAATAAAATTGGTTCTGCTTGTCATTGTTTTTTTTGTTGTTTTTTTTCTAATTTGCTGAATATTAAGTCCATTACTACAGTGGTTTGTCATTTTCAACCATCAAAGGGGGACTGATCAAGTTCATTCGGTTTTCATAAGTATTTATCAAGGTCAAAAATAACATTTATAATTAGTATTTTATTTTCATCCCTCAGGCAATATCTCTTTCCTGTAGTCTGGTCTACTGCCTTGTCCTATTTAATTTGTAAGTGATAATGTATAGTATGTGAGAATCACATACACAAAAACCTAACACGGGTATCACAACTTTCCTGATAAATCATTGAATAAATGGACAAAGTATTCTATTCTATTTTATTCTATTGTAGTTTTAAAATATTAAAATATCCTACATTTTAAAATATCTGTTTATATATATTAATTAAGATATAATTAATTCCTGTGCTGGCAAAGCTGAATTTTTAGCATCGTTACTCCATGTCTTCACTGTCGCATGATCCTTCACATTCTGTTTTGATGCTCAAGAAACATTTCTTATTATTATCAATTTTGAAAACAGACAGTTGTGCTGCTTTATATTTTTGTAGAAACCGTGATATTTTTTAAAGGATTCTTTGATGAACAGAAATTTTAAACAGCATCAACAGAACAACATTTATTTGAAATAGAAATCTTCAGTAACTTAATAAATGTTTACATAAAATATACTTAAAAACATTTTACCGACTTGAAATATTTGAACACTATTTATGTATAAACACATTTAACTTATTTTATTATGCCAGATGAAGTCACAGAGTGATAGATCCTGCTTTTTTTTTTTTTTTTTTTTAGAAAATTGGTTGCCTAGAGTCCTCAAAAATATTATACCTCTGTCCAATCAGAATCAAGACAGATTATACAGGGGTTGGACAATGAAACTGAAACACTGGCCAATGTTGGAGGTTTCACATCTATATGCCTGGCGGCCAATCTTCAGAGTGAAGCATGGGTGGATCAGTGATGGTTTGAGCTCCAATATCATGACAATCCTGATTGTATTTGATGGACACGACACTGCCGAGGACTACCAAACCCTTCTGGAGGATCATGAGCACCTGATGCTCAAACCGCTCAAACCGCATGATCATGCACCAACACACACAGCAAGACTTGTGACAGAAGGGTTTGATGAAGATGAAAGTGACGTTGAACATCTCCCATGGTCTGACAGTCACCAGATCTGAATATTATTGAGGTGTTTTGGAGGAGCGAGTCCACCAGCATCATATAGTGACCTGGACACTGTTCTGGAAGAGGAACGGCTCATAATCTCTCTGGTCACTGTGAAGGACTTCTATCTGTCAATTGGTGCTGTATTTGGATGCAAAATGAGGCCCTCACCATTCTAACAAATTATTGTGTAGTAAAACCAGGTGTTTCAGTTTTTTTGTCCAACCCCTGTATATTTACTCAGCATGTATGTTGTCTGTTTCTCTGGAGTGTAATCAAAGCATGAGGCATGTTGCTGGAACATTAGATAATCAGAATCACTGGGCAGATGTGATTAGTATTGAATCAAGCCTAATTAAAGAGGCAGATAAACAGCCTAGTGATGAAACTGTGGACTGGAAATGAGGGAAGACAGCATGTGCAGAACAACTAGAGATATCACAACTTCCCGGTTCTCCATATGAGCTGATAACATTCTAATAAAGGCATTACGGTGAATTACTGTGATTGTTAATTGTGTTTCAGGGCTGCTGTAAGGCTTTATTCATAAGTCAGCGTCATAAACGCACACTGCAGTAGAGTTCCTGGAAAGAGTTTCATATAACTTCCAAAGAAGCCTGTTTATAAGTCTTCATCTTTTTATTGTGCACAGCAAACCTCTCAGCCTCTTTCCACATCTCATGTACATTTTATGAACATAATCAACTGCAATCTTTATCACAGTGAACACACACACACAACAATTGTGTTGGATTTCCCCCCAGAAATTGCTTGTAAATTTCACAAATTATTACACTGTAAGAACTCATCAGTTGATCTAACTTAAAAAAGTCGAACATGTATGGGCGAATCACTCCGGTTGCCATTTCACAACATTGGACGTTTTCATAACAATTTCCCTTACGTGCATCGACAGGTGAGTTGAAACTCATTATAATATGCAAAACTGTTATCCACTCACAGCAGTGGGTGTTTACTTCCAAGTCTTCAGTGCAAAACGCCCATTAAACCGAGCGTCTTTAAGCTAGGCTAGAAAATAGCCTATTACTTATTCATTTTAATGTTTTTAAATGTAAAAACCAAGCGAACGTCATAAGCTGACCTCAGACAACAATATAATAAAATTTAAAAAGCCAGTTCATGACCCCATTAAACAGATTATTGGAATACATTTTATTAAAAAAAAGCTATTTTCAGCTAGGTGTTTGTTTGTTATATTCAGTGAATTAACCACATACAGGCTCATGCAAAGTGATAGTGATGTAGGCCTAGTCAGAGTCATTAGACAGTCAAAATGCTGATCAGCAATACATTGCTTCTAAAGCTACACCGGTTGCAGACTGCTTGTGAAAGGAGCACATATGTATTTCTGATTGTAACATGTTTATAATGTGTGTGAAGGATTTCCTGTTATGGTCCCATTGCTTTAAAAAAAAACTTTTATGGTATTAGTATTTGGTTTCTAAATGTGTCTTGAATTTCTATGGTTTCTCAGTTCACCTCACAAAACAAATAGTGAGGTCTGTCCGCACAAGCCATGTTTATCCTTGTCTGCCTAATTTGAGGGAACTGTGTCAAAATACAGTAGACTGGGATTGGTCCCATAACTTTGACGTCAGCCTCTGCTGTTGTCCATCTGTTTGTCCTCTTCTTGACTAGATCCATAGCAGCAGCTGGCATTGTTTTGGTGACCCAGCTGGAAAAAAGGTGCAGTGCAGTATGGACATGAATTTGGAGCACAACTGGTCTTTTTTAACAAGAGTCCTGCTGTTCTGGAGCATGTCCCCTCAAGCAGCTGCAGTCATGGGTAGACTCATTTTCCCCTTAACAATGGAAAGGCTGGCATCCAGACGAACACTCACATGTGGCTTTTGAGTCTCAGTGAACGTGTCTGAGTCTGTGTGCTGGATGCATTTCAGAAAGGGGAAAAGGGAATATACGCATCAACAAAGTACATTATTGACTGTGTCCCTCCGCTAAATGTGGTATTTTAGTAATTTCCAGGACAACTACCCTGAAACCTTCTAGACAAAAAAAAACAAAAAAACAGCCAATTTGCTCAATGCTCAATAGCTAAATTTGATCTCTATTAAAACAGCTAAACTTTTTCATAATTAAAAAAAAAAAAAAACATTTTAAAATTAAATTAACTAAACATTTTTTTAATAAAACAGTTTTTATTTAACTTTCAACCTTTATAAAAATTTTCCAAAACCCTGGAGATGGTACATCAACTTGAATGACAGGTCTGCCATGTGTCTGTATTGCTTTTACTGGCACTATGTAACTTCAAGGTGCGGTAGGAAAGATAGCACAAAAAGAACTACAAAATTCGACCGCTTCACGGCATACATCACTTCCCCCACTTCCTCAAATTCCGACGCGAGAGCTAACATGAGAACAATATCTTTGTTTTTATCATTATCGTTATAGTTATCATTCTTGATGCAATAAATGACATTAACTAATGGGACCTTATTGTAAAGCGTAACCATCATTTTTTCAGTTGGGGTTTCTGACCAATGTCACAAATTTGGTCATTTCATTTTTAATAGTGTTGAATCTTATACATTTCGTTTGTACATCATAACTTTTGTTGGACTAAATCTAGCTCCACAGTCAAAGTCTCTGCAAATGCATATAACCTTTGTGGTTACTGTGGTATTATGATATAAATACTAAATATTATTTCTAAATTGTGTTTGTTATTGGTTCTAATTGAAATGACTCTCCTACATCTTCCATTGAAACTTTCACAGCCTCATACAGTATATGTATCAATGTGGCATTTTCCAGCTACAGCTCTTCATTTGGTCAATGTTTTTGTAGTTTAATGACCCTCAGAGGTGTAATGTAAGGGAAGATTTTAATGGACCCTCACTTGAGACCGTCTGCAAGGAGCTGCACTTCTAGACCCGAGTTTGTCTGCCTGACTAATTTTAACCTCTGATTCCAAGTAGACCCTCTGTCATTTGTCTTTGGCAGAAAGAACTGCTTTTAAAATGCGATCATGTTCCTGCTGGGAGACTTAACGCCTTTCCTTACGCCTTGCCCCCCCCCCCCCCCCCCTCCTTAGTCCTCCTTATCCCTCTTCTTTTTTGACCTACAGCAGTTTGTCTGCAGGGCTGGCTGCTCTTAGTTGTTCTTGTTATGTCTCTGTGCAGATACCAATGCAAACAGAAGAATTGATGTTAGTGGGTTTTTCTATCCTGCAGTCTTTCACCGTAGTCTCTGGAGGCAAAACCATGTTCTTTTCAGTAAACTCTTTCAAACCAACATGAAGAAAAAATGTTTTTCAAAACCTAGATATAAAGGGTGCATTTCTAAGCACTTTGCACATGTGTTTTAATCTATATTTTTCCTTCGTTTTTTTCACTCCTTCTTTAAAAAAATCCTGTTTTATAATGGTTTCCACTCAAATATGCAAAACTAAATATCCTCTGTGAAAAACCGCTAGTAGTCTTCTTCATAGTGTGGTGCTGACCGTTTCTCAATCTAACTGCGTGTGTTTGTGTGTTTTGCAGGAAACAAGAGCTGCTGACCATCTCCAGTGTGCCTCTGGGAGAATGTCCACCCTCACCTCCCCGCACTGCACCACCCACCATGAAGGTGAGTGCTGTGGTCCCACATTCACACACAACAACACAAGCATCGCTCTCTTATCTGCTGTTAGCTGAAATCTGGTGCATTCATCTTTCAGCCACATCTTTATTACTAAATTAACCTCTATTAGCGTGATAGCCTGAGAAAGTGAGAATGCCCTTTGTAGCGTGCTATATAAAATGACCCTCATTTCTCTACTGAAATGCCAACATGCTCTTACATAATGTCTCTAACTGACTTAGACATGCACATTAACCTGCGGTCCTGTCTGTGAAGGTACATGCGGTGTGTTTGAGGTAAAGCTTTTCATTCAAGGTTACCTCTAAATGTAATTCTAATTCATTTGGACTGAGAAATCCATTTTCTTCGGAGCATTAAGGTCCCATTGAGATCGCACAGTATCATCATCTCTGTTATATGTGCAACAGCCTCAAGAGGGTCTGGAAAGATTTTCTGTCTTGTTTAAAAGTGGTACAGAGTTCAGAGATGGATTGTGCGGCGTGAGCGGAGCACAGTCGGTGTCACCTTGAGATGAAACGCTGAAAAAATCAGAAGAGGAGGGAGAGAGGTGGGCGTTTATGTGGGAAGGCAGGGCGAAAGGCCGAGGTGTCAGGCGTGATATTAAGATGAGAAGACATGAAGTCGAACTCAGAGGTCATGATCCTGTTAGCCAGTGCCTTAATTATGTAGATAATTTCTCATACGGACTGATTAAATGTCTGAAGAACTAGTCGAACATTATACTTGATATTTATTAAGGTCAGGTGTTTCATTATCACCTGCTTTTTTTTTTTTTTTTCAAAGAATTTAAATTTATTTGCCTCTCTTGTGCGCATCTTGTAAATTCTGTCATCATTCACTTAAATGGTTTAGCGGCCTATACTATAACATTTAATGGGGTCCGATGTTATTTTGACACCATTGATTTTCATTGTATGGACAAATTGTTGAAATCAAACGTTCTTCAATCTTGTTTTGTTTCACATAAGAAAATAAGTCATGAAATGACATGAAGGTACTGGGTAGCCCTCAATCGGGTCATGGGGTCTACGACCCCAATCGACTTTTACTTAATAAAAAAAAGGTTCCCTTCATCTCAGTGGAATAAGATTTTGTGACATTTCATACTTTATCTATCTATACAGACACAAAACTGGGCTTTATTCGGTTGTTCTGAATAAAAAAAAGTGTACACTTCTGGTCTTCGGGGTCAATATGACCCCACATTGAAATGAATGGGAAATGTGAAAAAAACTAAATATATTTTCTTTATGTGTCACAAAAAAAAAAAAAATCTGGCATAAATCTGAAAATTTTTACACAGAAATGAAGGCCTAGTACTAGAGCATAAATGCAATGTATCATAAAAAAAAGGTGTAGTTGAGGAATTGTGTGGTATATGGATACAAAAGTACTTTATATCTCCAAAAACACAGCATTAATGAATAGATGAGAAATAAACAAACAAAAAAATGATACAATTGTACAATTACTCAATCAATTGTTGGGGTCATATAGACCCTGAAGCCAAGAAGTGTAAACAGGAAATGAAGACCATTTGAAGGTCAAAAGTTTGGGGTCAGTAATTATTATTTATTTATTTTTTTTAAAGGAAATAAGGCTTTTATTTTGTAATGATGCACAAAAATAATCTAAAGTGACAGTACAGACCTTTAATGTTACAAATGTTATACAGTACATTTATATTCCTCAAAAAATACTAAAAGAAATGTCATTGATCCCCCCCCCCCCCCCCACACACACACACACAACAATCAGCTGCACAAATAATAAGAAATGAGCAAAAAAACATCATATTAGAATGATTTTTGAAGGATCATGTGACAGGACTCGAGTAATGAAGCTGAAAATTCAGCTTTTGCTATAACATGAATAACTTGCATTGTAAAATCTATTCAAATAGAAAACAGATATTACTATTTTACCGTACATTTGATCGTATAAATGAAATATGCCTTGGTGAGCATAAGGGATTTCAAAATCATTAAAAAATATCTTCCCGAAATCTAGTTTTAGTTTGTACTGCACTAATCCTAAAGTATATTTGTCATATAAAACTCACATAGCCAGTTTTTCCCCCGTTCTAACCTTGTCCTTAGAGAGTCACTTTATTATACATTACAGGGAAATGTTTGCAGAAAACACAATGTACTGTACCTCTTTTTAGGTTTAGCTCTCCTTGTAGGGACATTTGGTCCACACAATGTAGCCAAAACCACCTGAGAGACATACACAAACATACACACACACACCACACTATAAACACTCCCACAATGTGCAAAGACTCAATTAACACCTGTGTTTGGGTGTAAACACAATGCAGTTAGTAAGAACATATTAAACTGTATGTGTACGTGTCTTTTTAAGATCTATAATTATGTTTTGTTCACACAGTTAGTGGCCACTCCCAATGTAAACCCAGAGCCTAAAGAAGAAAAGAGGAAAGGGAGGACAGCGAGTGTGTGGATGTGATAAGCTCTCTTGAACTGTGGCTTAGCTGTTGGTCATATTCAGAGCAGAACTACAAAAGACGCAGAGAGAATGAGAGAACTTAACTCATAAGTACAGACACACTGGTAGGACCAGTTTTTGGGTGCGGACTTGGCCATCCTCTTCCTGTTTTGTGCTGCTGAAAGTGTTTGCAAAGAGGAACACAGCTAATCAGAGGAGAGAGGTATGATCGCTGTATAACGCACTGTGACGGGGGAAACAGAATGTGAGAGGTATTAGCCTGGATGTGTGTTTCTTATTGATCAAGCTTTATTCATTCATTCTAGTGCGTCTTTGTGAAGATCTTTATGTAATATCTGTTTATTAGCCAGTACTGGACAAGAGGGTCAGATGCACATATTACCTCACTGTTTGTGTATCAATTTATACCTATAGCTACTTAGTCAAAATATATCTTGGCATATTCAAGTAAAGGTTCAATTTGTTAAAATTTGCTAATACATTTGGTATAATTATCATTTTTCTTTGCATTTATTAATCTAAGGCATATTAAAAGAATATTCCAGGATTAAGTTTTGCCTTTAAGTTTAAGTTCAAGCCATTGTTGCGTTATATTGATTACCTCAAAAAACAGATCTGGCTTTTCCAGCAAAAATCTAGGTTGCAGTTAGGCACTTACAATGAAAATGAATGGGACCAATAAATGGAGGATTTATCTAATGTTAACGCCATACAACTTGAAATGTTACATAATATCAGTTGCCTGCAGTAGTGTTCTGAAACAAGGAAGCAAAGTCCTCACAGTTTTTTTATTTTTATTTAAATAAATCAAATGTAAATTCATGTCCCAGTTACAGTTACTGTAATGTTGTCACATTTTACTGGTGAAACATTACATTAAAACAAGAAAGACACTTCTGTATTGTATTTTTACATATACTATGTAATTAATGTTCTATTTATTAAAACCAAGTATGAACATCATCAACTTTTCTTAAGCATTTTTACATTTTTTCCAAAATAATTACTTAAGAAATTAACAGTTGAAACATTATTTAAACAATATAATATAGCCTATCACAGAAACAAAAAAAGTATCTTTAATTTCTCCAAGCTAATTGCTCACCAAAAACCCCACAGTTATCATGTTTTCAGGCCATTTCAAGTTTGATTTTGATGTGACTTAAAGCTGGGATATCTAAAGTGGTGGAGTTATAGTTGTTCATTAGTCTTCCCATTAACTCCCTTTTGTTCATTCAGACTGATTCGCAAGCACGGAACATGAATGAAAAGGCTGGATTTAGAGCACAAACCAATCGTATCCCATCATAGTGAGGTGGACACATTTCCTCCTCTCATGTGACTTCCCCCATTCATTTAAACCAGACTCCCCCCCCCACCAAACCCACTGCATGCTTTAAGGGGTCTTTTAAAAGTCAATATATGTACACATACGCAGACACACACGCACATATAACATGGTGTAATGTTAACTCATACTACCTGAAATGTTAAAAATGTATTCATAAACTTTAATTTATATAAATGTAATGTATTACCTCACCGTAAAGTGTTACCAAACCATTTTGAGTCATTATAAATCAGGTTTAAATGTGTTTTATCAACTATCAAGAACTTCTTATGTCTGCTCGAGAATGTCACTCAGTTCATTGTATTTTGGGTGAAGCTTCAAAGATCCTGTTAATCTTGAGACAACATTGAAACTAGCAGGTTGTCATGGCAGATAAGCTTTGTCTCTTTATTCCTTATGATGACACCACAGGCATAATTTAAGACTATGTGAATGTTTTATCATGTAGCTCTGATGTGCTTATATTTAATTTGATCTACTTGTCAACTGTAAGGGCAGGTGGGGCTAAATATTCGTCCTAAACATAGACCTCTATAGAACTGAATGAATAATAAAAGTGTGTTCAGCATTATGATGATCATTTTCTCGATTATTTTAAGTGGCTAAGGCAGGCATTTATCATGACACTAGTCTCGCGTAGCCAGACCGTTCCGTAGGCCTGACGTCAGAGGCTGAGACTATCACTAGTCGGAAAAGATGGTGATTGTGTGCTCTATGGCGCCCCACAGGTTTCCAATGTAAAACTGCAGCACGCTCTAATTTAGAGCCATTTGGGTAGATTTCAAATTGCCCCGCTTTTCGCGTTACCTTGCGTAAATCTAGCTCCAAATCAAGACGATATGAATCCGCTTCAGTGTACATTAGTCTGCTTCAGGTCAGTAAGATAGCACAAGTACGTCTGCAAAATCATTAAAGACGGTCTGTTAAAGATCACTTCATCTGGAAAGCATCTGCTGTTTACTAACATCTGATAGAAGTCTTTAATGTGTCAGTTTTACATAAATCATAGACATCTTAAAGACATTTTTTAAACGTCTATTTGACATCTGACAGGAAACGTATTGCAGATGCGCAAAACACTAAAAAAATACATCTTCCAGATGTAACTACACACATCAAATAGACGTCTCTGTGATGTACGTGTGCTATCAACTAGTTGGAATGTCTGTTCTTCCTAATTAATGAAAGTGTAAAGCATTTAAACATGCTCTTATGAAATAGCCTTTATATAGTTCTGTTTTTTTTTTTCATTATATTCTGAGAACAGACATGACTTTCTTTTCCTTATTGAATCACTTTTTTTTTTTAAAAACTTTTGCTGATAAATTTACTCACCCCCATGTCATCCAAGATGTCCATGTCTTTCTTCAGTCGAAAAGAAATTAAGGTTTTTCATGAAAACATTCCAGGATTTTTCTCCATATAATGGACTTTAGTGGGAACCAAACAGTCCAAAAGACAGTTTCAGTGCAAACTGTTCAAAGGGCTTTAAACGATTCCAGACGATGAATAAGGGTCTTATCAAGCGAAACGATCAGTCATTTAAAAAAAAAAAATAACAAAGTTTAAGTTTTATAAGCTCAAATGGTCGCCTTGCTCTGTTCGTGACTCTCCTGTTCGAACTCGTTCATTAAAATGAACAAATCTTTTTTCGAGTCATTTGGTTCTTCAACGAATGAAATAAACGAATTGAGTCGGAAAAAGAATTGTTCATTTTGATTTGACCATTTGAGCTTATAAAACTTAAACTTTGTTATTTTTTTTTTTAAACGAGCGATCGTTTCACTTGACAAGACAGTTTGCAGATCTTTTGGACCTTGAACCGTTTGGTTCCCATTGAAGTCCAGTATATGGAGAAAAATCCTGGAATGTTCTCATCAAAAACCTAAATTTCTTTTCGACTGAAGAAAGAATGACATGGACATCTTGGATGACATGGGGGTGAGTAAATTATCAGCAAAAGTTTTTTTTAAAAGTGAACTACTCCTTTAAGGCAATACTAGCTTTCTATGTGTGCCTGTCAATCAACATTTGAGCGCCAACTTCAGGCTGAATAACGCAAGGTATTAGATTATAAAGCTTACAAAATGTTTAACACAAGACCTACAATCTGCCCTACCTTAATATAAAATCATGAGCTGCTACTGAATTGGACTGTTGACTCAAAAATCTCAATATTCAATATCTAATCAGAAAGATCAACAGGCCATTGCATTACAAAACGTTCAAAGCCTTTCCAAAAATGTACACATCTTTCACTGGTTTCCTTCTTTGGCCTTGCGTTCTGCCTTAGAATTAAGGTGTTGCCCCTGTGCGTCCTATTGATGTTGTGGTCTCAATTCCTCAAGGTTATTTAGGCAAATAAGCCTCAGCTGGGCTGAACTTTGTTGACTTTGTGAAGTCGAGTTGCCCTTGGATCCATGGCAGGTTAAACATTAACCGATCTACATTTGCTCTGTCCCACCTACATCTGCTACGCTGTCTGATCATATGAATATCCTTAAACCAAAGGGATTTATTTTGAACAAAAATGCTATTTTTGGGGGGTGGTCTTCCTCTTAACTAGCAAGGGTGCTCTGTTGAGGTAAGAGACTTTGAGTTCAGCTGAAGTATTGTGCAAGTTTATCAAGAATAATTGAGGTTGTTTTATTAAAGCCCTTCAGGCCTAGACAAGAATTATACTTTAAATAGGCTATCTGGTGTATTTGTAATATTTAAGCCATAATGGTTGCACAGCCCATTTATCAAATGAGTCTGTAAAGGTTCAGTAAGTTTGATTTAGATTGAAGATGTATTATGATTTAAGTCTTTGCGGAGAAAGAGTCATTTACTGTCATTCAACATACATCTAACATATCTCAACCCAACTCACATTGCAGTGTTTATGATGTATGATATGATAAAATGTGCAGTGGATTCCATCCAGACTTTAGTTTTTGATTTGATTTTAGATATGATCAGGCATGTAAATTTTGCCTCAAGACAGTGTGAGTTGGGTGTGTAAGATTGAGAGCCCAGAATACACGGGAACTTTTTTATATAACTTGAAAACCATCCTAGGATGCACCTCATGTTGATTGAGAGAATGTCCAAAGTGAGCATAGCTGTCAAGAATTTTTTTTGTGTGACCATTACATGTTGCTTTTAAAATGTATTTTTTGTTTGTTTGTTTATTTATTGTATTTTTTAAATAACTGTAAGAAATGATTTTTTTCATAGTTTTTTGTTTATTAGGGATGCAGAATAAATAAATTCCATATTATAGTTTTATTTTATTTTATCTTATATTTAATTGAGAATGCTATCTTTTATCATCCATAACATGAACATAATTATGAGCATTTTATTGGACAGAATTGTATTGTCTTTACTGCTCAAATGGAAAAACAAAAAGTAATAATAAAAAAAAAATTAGTGGTGTCAAAATTAACCTGTTCTTAGGAATATTTCTGTCTTGCTTCTACAATTTCCTTTCAGGAAAAAAAAAATCAAAATGATAAAATAAATGAATAAATAAAAATAACAAATGGGTTTGATGTAAATATCACCACAAAACTATGTAAATTTAGACATTCAAATACTGACTTATCTCAATTTATATTTCTTTCCAGTCGGCGGAGTTCTTCGACATGCTGGAAAGGATGCAGGTAAGACTCCATTACTCGGATGATTTTATAAGTGCATGTCGCTCTTGATTCCTGTAATAACAGTATTCCTCCAGTAACTTGTAATTAAGCTGAAGAGCATTTTACTGTATAATAATATGATAATCACAGCATGTTTTTGACCTTGAGTGCTGGCTAAGGACCACCAATCATCAGTTATTCTGAATGAATTCTTATACATTTCGGCTCATTTGAAAACGCAGTGTTTGGGCTAGACCTTTTCTCTGTGGTCAGTCTTTGGGTGGGGGTTTTATAGGAGCCCCACAGGGTGAGAGACTGGGAACAGGACACACTGACCTGTTATATAACAGTTGTGCTGTCATTGTGTGCATGTTTGTGAGAGTGCGTAGATGATGGGCAGCAGGTAGCTAATGATGAAAAGTCGATCAATATGCCGAGGCAGAAGTGTGGTATCTGAATTGGGTGTTATTAAAGCTCCCAGTCTTCTTGAACAGATCTCTGTATGAGTAACAGATCGATGGTTTATCTGAAGGGCTGATGTCTCTCTCCAATGGATCACATGCACTTGTGATGTTCTCAATCAAATACGAAAGTCCTCCATCCTGTGACATGTACAGAGCCCAAGGAACTGGCCTTTCTTTTTTTCTAAAAATTATAATTACATTCCTACGCCCCTAATATGTAAGGGAAACAATGCCACAAACTTCTAAAAACTGTACAGGAGTCAAATTTGAAGAAAACCCTATTTTTTTTTAATTATTTTTGTTTAATTTTATTTTACTCTAAAATGTTGACTTTTCATATTTTAATTTCTAAATAAAGGTAATTAATTAAAATGTATATTTAAATTAATCGAAATAAATATTATGTAATTTTAATTAATACATATTTTTTCCTGCACACGCTGGATCATTCACTGGAAACTGAAAGTATAACTCTTTAAAATGTATTGTTCCCACTACAATAATTCAAAGAGTACAAGTCAACACCATTACAACTAAATGTTTGCCAAGCAGTATTTCCTACTAAAGCAAGGCGGTATTTTACATATTATTATGTAAGCGTATCTGTAGCAGACTGGTGGGAGTGGCCTTGGACAGCAACATGCCCAGTGCATTATGGGTGTTGCAGTTTTCCTATTTGTCAAAATGCAAAACAGCAGCCTTTTTTCCTCTGTTTTCAGGTAGCACCGATTTGCAAAACATTTGTACCTTTCTAATATATAGGCAGCCAAGTTTTATTGAAAGTCCGTTTTACCAGCAATTAAGTACCCCTTTAACTGTGTAACAGCTAAAATGAAGATTGTCAATGGTGTGTTATAAAGCCCCAACTGGAATATATCAGTTCCGTTTAATGAGTTACCTCGTAATCATTAAAATAATTGTGTCATCAATGTCCCAATATTCAGATTCGCAACAAGGAACTGAGAAGCAAAATTAATAAAAAGCTTTCGCCTCATATTGCCAAATATTATAAAGCTTATCAAACTGCCTTTATTGATCTCTAGGCAACTGTTTTCCCTAGACTAACAGGAAACGGTTTACCATGGTAACGTACTTGGTTAATAACGTAACCTCGGTTCCCTGAAAGTAAGGGAATGAGTATACGCCTTATTCACGGCAGCGCCATGTTTGATTTTTAATGAGAATGAAAGCGAGGCTGTGAGGGATAGACTTGCATCTCTTCAATGGGCTGTACTGTTATTTAATGTGTTTTCGGATTGTTCTGCTCATGAAACACTGGAAAAATATCTTTCTAAGAAATTTCAGTTGACAAAAAACTCCTGACAATGTAAGTTGTGGAAAATTGTAAGTAATCTAGGAGCTTTATTCAGCTTTTTAAAGCGGATGCCATTGGAAACACGGTAAGTCTATCCCTCACAGCCTCACTATCACACCTGTCATGGCGCTGCTCTGAATAAGGTCTATTGCATAGCTATTCGTACAGCTGCACAGCTAGCATGTTGGTGCTGCCCACGCCATTGGATGTGCAGTTGTCACAGCACAGCCAATGAGTGAGCCAGACATTCACTGTGCTAGTTGTGCAGCTGAAAAATGCGTTTTACATTTTAAGCTTCAGAATTCGGGGAAAAGGAGTTTCCCCACTGCGTATAGCTACGCAATACGAAGTGGATGTTCTCGAAAGGGAACCACAGTTTTTTTTACCAAATATCTTGATATTAGCCAGACACTATAGTGTTATTAAAACAATTTAAAATGTTGGAAAACAGAGTTGACTATGAACATAGATGCTGGATTTGTGGAGCTTATTTGGCAACCAGGGATACATGTTTTAGTGTGTCATGCATTCTTCCTCTTCCAATCCCTTCTGCTTACCTGGACACGGCAGATTCCCAAAACTGAGGAGACTAAGAGAATCAAGGTTGGGCTGGTATTCTGAATGTGTTTGTGTAGTTAGTGTCTGTAAGTGCATGCGTGTGAGTGGGAGAGTTGTGCATGTATATGTTCTTCTTCAGTCTTTTCTTCTCTATAAATATTCTGATAAACATCAGCCACAGTCTGGATTTTTTACAACATCAGTACACATCAATCATTTTGAAGTGTTTTTGTACATTTAGGCTCAGTGTTGATGGCCATCTGACGTTACCAAAGAGTCCAAATGCAGACTTGAAACCTTTATAGCTCATATATAATTATAGGAATGCAAGCAGAGAATAATCAGATACCTTTTTTTTAGTTGCAGCTGCTGTTATTTTGTTTTTGTTTTGTTTTTATCAGTCATATTGTGTTGTTGATATTATTTCTCTATCCTACTCTTGGGATGCTTTTATTGCAATAAACAGACTGTAATTTGTGCAGTTGGCTCTACGTTGTTATCCTAAGATCATATTTATTTCTCTCTCCTACAGGATGACTACATCCCTTACCCACGGATTGAGGATGTGAGTCCTTGTGCGCGCACACACATACACACAAACACATTAAAAATCAAGCCTATAAGTGTTTTAGGACCGAAAGGAACAGATTGTCTCTATTTATTATACAGCTCTCTGGAATACTTGATTCTGATTGGTCAATCACTGTGTTCTGCATTTAGATATGTTAGCAAAATGATTGCTTAGCTCAAGCTCAACAAATCTCATATACTCCTCTACACAGAAAAATATGGTAACCTTAAATGATCTAATCTAAATTAACTGGTTTTATTGGAGTCAAAAATGTAATTTAATATTTCTGAATCAACTTAAAAACATTAATTTATTCCAATAAAGTTATAGTTTTTTGTTGTTGTTGTTGTTTTTTAAAGCAGATAGAAATTGCTCTTTAAGTTCTTTTAGGCTCACCGCTATTTAGATTGGTCTAACAACACTCTGTTGTTCTAAACGGAAAACCCATTATTAGACTCTACAGTCTAAGTATACATGACTAATGCCGATGTAGTAGTCGGATCTCTAAAACTCTAATCTCTGCTCAACCTAAGCTGGATTTCAGTTAGTTTACTAACCTGAGCGTAGAATTGTGATTTTATGGATTTATCTACTCGAATTAAGAATTTCAAAGTAAGTCAGAATAAATCCAAATGTAACAATTTATTATCAGCCAGGTAAAGGTATCATGCAAATTACATAATCAATTTAAAGATAATTAATACCATAACATCAAATGCCCAGAGATAAAGAGTAAAAGATGCATACCTGACATTAGAAAAATACATAATGGAGTGCATCCAAAGACATTCAGAATTACGGGCTTAGAGTTTTGACTAGAGTTATAGACACACCTTATTGAGAAACAGGAGGTAGTTTGGATGAAGGACCCTGGGAAAAAGTGGACACCCAGTAAGCAAAGTATCTCTAAACCCTGATTACCATTTTGGTTTACTTCAGTGGAGATTGACTGAAATTATACCAAACATTACTGTTAATTCCCTTGACATTGAACATTTATAATTTTTGAATAATCTTTTTAAGTGAACTGAGTGAAGAGGAGAATGTGTAAAGGGAAGGAAGTGGGGAGAAGTAGCAAATGTGAGGGTATTGTCCATATCTCAGTTGATCAAAGTTCAGTTTTTCTTACACTATTCGTTAATAACATCAATATTGCTATTAATCGTTTAAAATTACACATGAAATGGATCAAAAGTGACTCTCATTAGAGTATTAGTAGACTGTTCGGGTAGGTAGAATAAGTTGATAGATATGCAGTTGCAAAGTTACTTTTAGTTAGTAGAGTGTATGTTGGCGGACCATTAAAATAAAGTGTTAGCAAATTGCCTACCAATACTCTGACAGTTAGTTGACATGTAGTTGCAAAGTTACTTATTGTAAAATAAAGTGTTACCTAAACTTTCACAATATGGCTGTTTTTACTGTATTGTTGATCAAATAAATACAGCCTTCGTGAGTTTAAGAGACCCCAAACTTTTCAGTGGTAGTGTATATTTATTTATATAATAGTAAGATATATTTATATAACATTATCAAGCTATTAAAGCATAAAGTTATTATATTAGGTTATTATAAGTTATTAGGTTATATACAGTATGTGAAATCAAAATGACTTTGCTGACCCTTTATTTTTCTTCATATTGGCTGTGTAGGTCCTGGAGAAGGGTGGTCCCTACCCTCAGGTCATTTTACCTCAGTTTGGTGGATACTGGATCGAGGATCCCGAGGCTCCAGTCGGGACGCCCACGTCCTCAGACAGCAGCTTCTGTGAGGAGGAGGATGATGGTCTTAGTCCTAGTGGAGGAGGAGGAGGTTCCAGCTACAGGCTGGAGTGTAACAACACTTCACGCGCTTACCGCAAACACTTTCTGGGCAAGGTCAGGATTCATTTGTTATTGCCGACAGTATGTTTATTTTCTATACTGTAAGTCCACAGAGCCAAAAGTACCCATATGTAGATTTTATGTTTTTACCACGGCCACACAATTTCAATATATGGCCTTTCAGCTACAGTACAAGTAAGTGTCCCGTCTGAGGTGATATTCACTCACAATTTGTCATAACACTGGACATGAAGTGTGATGGCGCGAACATTTTGTGCTCTACATTTTGGTATCAGAACTTCTGTCTGTGTCACAGAGACCTTGATTTGAACAAGGCACGCTTGAAATTAAAAATCAGTCTATTGGAAAATGAACCATATTCAAATTTGTGAGGAAGCAACCTGTGTAATGACTCCTGTGTAAACACCTTTCCCAGGAGCACATGAACTATTACTGCACAGCCAGTAGTATGGGACACCTCATCATGTCTCTGAAGTATGAGGAAGTAGACGGACAGGAGTCGCTCCGCATCATGCTCAGGTGCCACATCCACCATAAACATCACACACCCCAACACATATTGAAACTCTGATATAGGCATAGCTAGGTAGGCCTGTAATGTCATTGTAATTAGCTGAGCATTTATTCTCGGGTGTCGTTTTCTAGGTCAAAAACAAAGACCCTTCATGAGCGGATCCCACTTGAAGGACTCCTTCAGTTACCAAGTGTACCACAGATAGCAAAGGTGTGTATTGGCAAGGCCAGTCATAATTCTTTATATATAACATAAATGAAAATATGCAGTGACCAAACAAATTAAAACTGTCTTTTAGATTGTTCCATTGCCTTCATAACAGCTTTGCAGACTTTGGCATCCTCTAAATAATTTTATGAGGTACCACTTGGAATACTTTGAAGAAGTTCCCATGCACCCTGAATGCTTCTTGGCTGTTTTTGCTTAACAATCGGGCCTTTTAAAAACAAAAATAAAGAAAATATTCTATATTTAACAAAAAGCCACACAATATGTTTTTCTACAAAAACATAACATTTTTCAAGAACAATATAAGAACAATATAAGAACAAACAAGAACATTTTTCATGTTAATATATTTTAAAATGTAATTTATGTCTGTGATAGCAAACCCTAATCTTAATAAAATTTTTAAGTAACCAACTTGAATGTTTAAGTAATTTCAACCGACTTAAAAATTGAATCTTGTATAACTTATCTGAAAAAAGATCAAAAAATCTGAAAATTGCTTAACTTATTTTGATGAGTTAAAGCAATGTAAAAACATATGTTGTCATAACTTATTGATCATATCAAAAATCATATTTTTTACAGTGTATATTTTAATTTTTTCTTATTGTTATAGTTATTGTTCTAGTCCAACTGAAATCAAACTTTTAAAGTGCATGAGGACACACATTCTCAAAAAGTTTCTTAAGAACACATACTTGGCAGACCTCATTTGAACTTCCCTCAATCCACTCAAAAGATGCAAGATGCTCACATCAGATGTGTCCTGTGTGTTTCAGCTGCTCTGCGATGATGTCACGGGTCTAAAGTTCAACCCCGTCCTCTACCCCAGGGTGAGCATTTCTCTGTTTCTCACTCCATCTGTGACTTACCTACTCCAGGCGTCAGGGTGAAATAGGGCTGCGCTTTGCTCCGTCTCACCCTAGTACCCAAGTCATCTGAATTAAAATGTTCCCATGCTCCAGGGGACTCACAAATCCATCTGCTTTACACTGCCTGGTGTGCCTGAACCACATAGAGTGAAGGCTTGAGAGAGGCCATCTCAAGGCTTTGCATGGCAAACACAAACGCCTGAATTATGGAAAGGCACTGACATACATATTTACCCCTGCGGGTGCTTTTGCTCACTTTTTGTTTTCTCCCAAGGCCTCGCAACTGATCGTCAGTTTTGATGAGCACGAATTGAACAACACTTTCAAGTTTGGAGTCATCTATCAGAAGTTTGGTCAGGTGAGAGCATTCTTGAGTAGTTTTCTTCGTTTTATTTAGGCCTATTGGTAATACTTTACTTGAAGGGGTGTGCATAAGACTAACATGACACCTTCATAATCATGACATGACACATACGTTTTATGAATTAAGTGTCATTCGCTCAGTTATGACATTTTTAATGCAAGACATTGTTTGAGATGTCTTTGTTATGACACCTTGACATAAACCAATACATCATAACCTGTCAGTGTCTTTGTAATGACAACTTGACATTACTAAGACAACACAACCTGTCATAAACATGATATAGCAGATTAATTATTAAACTTAAGAAACCACCTAGCTTTATGGGTTAACATTACATTAAATGACAAATTCAATTAGTACCACTGTAGTTGAGGTCACGAATAATATTCATGACACAGTTATAGTGACTCATGACAGCCATTGTCAAATCCAACCACATAACAGTTTAACTTAATTTTATGTCAAGTTGTCATGACAAAGACACTGACAAGTTATGATATTATGGTTTATGTCAAAATGTCATAACAAAGACAGCTTAAACAATGTCATATCTGCATTCAAAATGTCATTATTGAGCGAAAGACACTTAAAGACATATATACACCCTACTTCATATTCAAGACATACGTCATGTCATGGTTATGAAGGTGTCATGTCAGTCTTATGCACAGCCCTTCAAGTAAAGTGTTACCGGCCTATTTTCACTGAATGTTTTCCATTTTTTCATCGCCATTGTCTTTTCACATCAGACATCAGAGGAAGAGCTGTTCGGCAACAACGAGGAGACGCCTGCCTTTGCTGAATTCCTCAGTGTTTTAGGAGACAATATTGAACTGCAGGATTTTAAAGGGTGAGAGACGGAGATTAGACTCTGAAAACTGCCGCCAGGGGTCACCTACACACTCGAAAGGCCCGTTTAAATATTAATCAATAATCACAGAGTTCATTTGTGAATAATTTAGTTCACCCATTGCGTGTGATTTTGACTGTAAATCTGGGCAGAGTAATCTGACTGAGCATCCGCAGAACTAATTTGTCTGGTGATTTTGTGCCGCTTAGCTTCAGAGGCGGTCTGGATGTGTCTCACGGACAGACGGGATCCGAGTCCGTCTATACTACGTTCCGTCAGAGAGAAATCATGTTTCACGTTTCCACAAAACTTCCCTTCACAGAAGGAGACATTCAGCAGGTGGGCTACACAAATCTAGATTTTAGTTTGTTGTTGTTTTTTTGTCTAAATATTTTTCCCTTGTGTCATCTTCTCTCAGCTCCAGAGGAAGAGACATATTGGCAATGACATTGTCGCAGCCGTCTTTCAGGAAGGGCCCACGCCATTCGTACCTGATATGATCGCTTCCAACTTCCTTCATGCCTACGTGTTAGTGCAGGCAGAAAACCCCTGTACTGATCATACTATGTACAAGGTTTGCCAAACACCTCACTGAATTACTCCAGATAGCCATCAATCCCTTAACCAACACTGATCTGAGATATTGATCTGTGTTCAAAGGTGTCCGTCACAGCGCGAGAGGATGTCCCTCCGTTCGGCCCCCCTCTTCCAAACCCTTCAGTCTTTAAGAAGGTAATATAGAAGTTTGCTTCAAATAAATATGACATCAAGAGATGATGATTTGTATCAGATGATGATGGAGATCAATTCTTCCCCAGGGTCCTGAGTTCCGGGAATTTCTCCTGGCAAAATTGATCAATGCAGAAAATGCATGCTACAAGTCAGACAAGTTCGCCAAGCTAGAGGTGAGGAATATCCCCCGCCTATGGAAGCTTGTTTACACCATGGAATAAAATCTCTACTTTTTAGCAAGTTTGTATTTCACAGTTCAGATTTGTTTTCTCTGACATTCTGTCATCATTTACTAATGCTGTCATTGAGTTACCATTTCCGGATGAAATATCTCATTAATTAGTCGATCTGATTCATTGTCAACTTGTGTGTGTGTGTGACAGGAGAGGACACGGGCAGCACTGTTAGATAACCTTCACGATGAATTGCACAGACAGACACAGGCCACAGTAGGACTGGGATCGACTTCAGATGAAGAAAAGCTTGAAAATGGAGGTCATGGTGGGCTGCTGGAGTCTTTTAAGGTGAGATGTCTTATCCTGAATTCCACTTGACCCCTTAAAGTCTCAGAGAACCTAAAGGTTTGTTTTACTAAATGATGATGGACTTTTATTTATTTTTTTTCTGTATAGAGAAATATTATCAAATAAAAATAATATATTCTCAAATATGTATGCTATCATTTCAAATTTTGGGGTCAGTAAGATTTTACTTTAATTCAGCAAAGACGTTTGTAATCTTACAAAAATATAAATGCTGTTTGTGTTTTACTTTCTATTCATTTAATAATATTTATGTTTAGGTTTCCACAAGGTTTCCACAAAATATTAAACGGCAACTGTTTTCATCATTTATAATAAATAGAAATGTCCAAATTAGGCTAGCACATTAGCATTATTTCTGAAGGATCATGTGACACTGAAAACTGGATTAATGAGACTGAAAATTCAGCTTTGTCATTACAGGAAGAAATTAAAATTTAAATAAATTAAGTTGTAATAATATATTTCACATTATTACTTTTTAATGTATTGTTTATCAATTACCGACCCTAAACTTTCGAACGGTAGTATATGTATACCCACAGTTTTGATGTCTCCCACTGAATGTAATTTTTATGTAAAACCATGTGCTTGTCTGTCTTGATCGGTCTTGTCTGTATGTCATTCTGTATGTCGAGATATTAAAATGCATGAAACTGAGCTGTTTTGAACTTGTACGCTCTCATTATGAGGCCTGTTTGTGTGTTAGGGACCATATGCGTGATTTTGCCGTGTGTGGGTGTTTACAGGCAGGGTGGAGGTGTGTGTGGGGCAGTTTGCAGACACACGCATATCCAGCAGTTCTGATCTGCGTAGCAGCTGTGACTGTGTATCATTACCAAGCCGAACTGGTGCAGATGACCAGTTCACATTAAAAAAATACATTAAACATGTATACAACAACACAAGACTCTTAGATTTCTCTGTAGGTTGTTTGTACTTTTGTGCAAGTTTTTTGGTTTTGTTATTTTACATAATTAAAAATATTAATTATTTTTATACATTTTTTATTCATATTTTATTTGAGTAGTTTCAATATATATAATATTTAACATAACATGTATAACATACATATATTATAATATACAATTTTATAATATTATATTATAATGTATTTGTTATCAATGTTATATGTAAATATAATATTAAGTAAATTATATATTTTGTATGTATAATATAATTGTATGTCACAAAATAAAATATGCAAATATAATATATAAACAAAATAGATTTTTAGAGATGTTTTTTGTGGAAAGTTGGTTAAATCACAAAAAAGTATATAAATGTAATATAACGAAATATATGAATCTCTATAGATTAGAGTAGTCTGTGTTTTCTAACATTTAACTTTTGACATTAGTATAAGTTAGTTTTTAGCGCCACCTACTGGCTCTTCATGGAAATACAATTCAGGTTTCCTTACTTCATCATTATTAAGGCTGATATAAACAAATACATCATTTAAACTAAATGCATTATTAGCCAATTAATATAAACAATGCACATGTAAGCCTTAAGAATATTCTGGGATGAGGTAATCTTTGAAAACCTCCTGTTTTCTCATCATTTCCCTTAAAAGTATTGTACTTAATACAGTTTCAGTCCTTCTCTTACCCTCTTCTCTTGTCTCTTTCTCTCTGTCAGAGGGCCATGCGTGTGAGGAGCCACTCCATGGAGACGATGGTGACTCATAAACACAAGAGTCCAGGAGCCGTGGCGGGGGTCCCGTCGAGCGTCAGCGGTGGAGGACTTCAGCAGAACAGCATGGAGTGCACCAAGAGCACCTTTACTGTAAGAGCATATTCTCCTACATTCATTTATTCAGAGGAAATTCTTATCTTATCATATTATTATTATTTGAGTGCAGCAGTGCATGAGCTTGATGCTTTATTTGTGTGTTTGTGTTTGTCAGCCTCCAGTGCTCTCTGCAAAGTCTCCTTTAAAGAGTCCTGTAAAGCGGCGCTCTGGTTTGTTCCCTAGACTACACTCCAGCACAGAAAGTCCAACTGAGAAACATCCAACTCGCGGGTACTCAAACACATCATTTTATATATAATATACACACAGTGATGTGCAAAAATCTTGATTCTATATACAAATTTGATCACTGTGAATGCATCCCAATAAGCCTACTTATACTATGCCCTAAAAGTAAGTACTGTTTTTTTGGAGGAAAAAAAAGTACATACATTTGAGTGTGTAGCAGAAGAGTAGGCAACATAATTGTCTTAACTTAAACTGACCGCTCTGTCACTTAGTTACATGTATCCTGTCAGCGTTTAAACTGCCCTGTCAATCATATTGTCACAGTGAACATCTCCACATTTTTATTTCATTTCATACTGAAGAGAAATGTTTGTTGATTTGCTGTCTGTTGTATGTATGCTGATTGAAGAGAAATGTATGTTGATGTCTTCTCATGTTTTGGGCTTTAACAATTTTTCCATGTTTGTAGTTCTAATTGAATCTTCACCCAGGTGTGATGGGTTGTGGGTATTAGCCGTTAGAGTGAACATCTGGGTACCTTTGGGATACTAGGTAGCCTACAATTTTGAATGTAATCTAGGATGGATGGTATGTAAATTGGGACTTAGCAAATGTAGCTCACAATGTTACACCTGTATGTGTCTGTGTATGCAACATTTGTACATTAGTATTTCAGAAAAAAACACTAGATAAACTGTTTTCTGTTTTCACAGTGACCAAAAAACAGAAGTATTCCCTCACTCACAGGAAGTGAGGTCAGAGACGTTGTCCAATCCGAGTTCACCAGAGATCTGCCCAAACAAAGAAAGGTGGGTCTTTGTGCTGTTTCTAAATTCCAGTTCCTCATGTAGCTACAGCTGTTTTAAATGTCATTTGGTTGGGATGTTTTGGCCTACACCGAAAACACAGAATGCTGTTTTAAATGCTTTTCCAGCAAATCTTCTTTAGCAAAGTCCTATTTGTTTCATAGTTCTTCAGCAAAATAAACAATTTGGGATTTCTATTGTGTGATCTCTTTCCTGCTGGTTTGGTCCTGCAGGCCATTCGTGAAGCTGAAAGAGTTTAGCGGCAGAGCTAATATCTCCCGATCCTCCTCCAGCACCAGCAGCTTTAGCAGCACAGCGGGAGATGGAGACGGACTGGAGGAGCTGGAACTGGTGACACACACACACACAAACAGTTCTGTTGACCTTTCAGGAGATTCAAAAGATGCGCACACACACACACACACACACACACATACATACTCTGAAGAAGACGCATTGCGTCGAAACGTAGGTCATTTTATACTAGTAAATATATTTAAATGTTCTGTGCTGCGGTCCTGCTCCTTGGTCTTAGTTAGACCTTGGGTCCTTTTCTTCAGATTGTTGTGTCCTGTTCCGAGAGCACTGGATAGGCTGAGGCGCAAGTGATTTCTTTCGATTGTTATACATATATATATATATATATATATATATATATTTACACAACAGTTATTATCTGATTGGCTGAGAGCCATCGATATTCACCCAGTAACAGCCTTGTTTCACCTTTTGTATAACTCTGCCTGCTGCAACAGTCATGGCGGTCCACCATATATATATATATTTTTTAAATACTACTTTTCGACTACTTGGCACTAAATACTAATATATGGTTTCGCAGATGCGTTCTCCAGGCCATCAGGGAAGAGTTTTATCTCGGCTAGTCCAGTCGAATTTGCTGCTGTCTATTATGTAGATAGTGGTTAAACATGAGATATAATGGTAACACTTTACAATACGGGTGCACTAATATGCATTAATTCATGCTTAACTAATGCACAGATAATACTGAGTTAATGTATAACACATGAAGAACTAAACCATAAAGTAATGATTATTGCCTCAGCAACTAATAAAGAGTCAATATGATTAATAGATTAAGAAATACATGGATTGCTGTTAATTCAATGTGTTATTGTGTAATAATTCCTTAATAGCATATTTTATTAAATAATAGTGTAAATTAATGTGTTAATTAGCACAATTAGTCAAAGCTATGCACTTCAACTTCCAGTTGTCTGCTTTAATTAATCATTAGCTAATGATTTGCAAAGGTATCATTGTGTTATGACTTTACTTGTTGGGGCACATCATTATTAACTAGTCATTTAGTAATTGTAGTAATTTGCACATGAATTAGCATTAACAATGAAGTAATTAATCATGTATTAATGCATATTAGTGTACCTGTCATATTATCTGGAAGTTGAAATACAAGGCTTTGGCTCATTCTGGTAATTAACACTATTAGTTAAAAAAATTAGTTATTATGGAATTAATCCAAAATTACATATTTAATCAATAACAATTCATGTATGAACTAATACATTAACCTTACAGACTCTTAATTAGTTCCTATTGTGATAATCATTAATTAATAGCTTAAATAATCATTAGTCGCACACTTTCTAAATGGCCCTTTGCATTGATCCACTCAGCCTGACGCCTGTCAATGTGCCTAATTACTGCACCAGGGCTAGTTTTAGGGCAATCTATAGCGATTGCACTAGTATTAACAGTGCCACTGCAGTTCACTCAGACTGTCATTTGGTGTGTGTTGTGTCCTGTAGAGCAGTCACCCATCCACGGCCTCATCTGTGTATAGTCCGTCCCTCAGCGTGGAAAGCCAGAACTCCGGAACGCCACTGATCATGTGCCGCAGTCCCACAGGTGAAAAAAACAATCATACACTACACGTTAAAAGTTAGTGGACATACACATGAAAACCGCACCATATGTGCTTGATGAACATTTCACATCAAAACCATTAAGCTTTATAGGGTCATTAAACACCCCTCTTTCAGCTTCAGTTTAGCAATCTCACAATCTTTTTGAAAAATGCAACTTAAATGGGCGTGGATGGCTGTGAGAAGAAGGGAGGGAGTTGATGTGGCACGGCAGGGCAGGGCAGGGGAGAGGGGTGGGCGGGATAACTGTCATTGGCCAGTGGCTCATACATATCAACTGTCACTAAAATCAGTGGTAAAACGTGAGGAAATGCTAGATTTTTTTATAGCTGGCAAATACACTGACATCTTATTTTTGTCCTTTAAAAAGCAGCTGAATGCCCTGCTACATAGGCCTATATTAGCCTACAGTAATCGTAATTCTATTTAAAACACATCAATGTACATGTACAATTATAATGTCCTTATAAAATATATATTTGTCTATATACACACTATAAATACATATATTTGAAAATAATTAATTTTTAAATGATTATAAAGATACTGCTCTTGCCTGGATGAATAGTACTCGCTGGGTTTTGTTGAAGTTTAGAGACATGCTCCCGAAGAAACGTTCACGGAGATGGAGAGGCAGAAAGCACATCCTGTATAGAAGTAAAATAATACCAAATGTCTTTGAAACAAAAAGCCTGTTGAATTATACTACTTGAAATTTTTTTTTTAATGCATTGTATTTTTAGGGCTTGATTTTTTGGGGATTGAAATTGAGCATGGTTGAATATTTTTGTGGAATTTGTGGAGGTGAATTTGCAAAGCGACATAAAATGGACTGAAAACTGCCTGTTGAATATTATAGGTTGTATTTTTAATCAGTTTGAAAAGTTTGGAAGTGAAATATGAAAGGCGAATATAGATTATTGAAATTTTACTAATGAAAATGAGTTTGAAATGTTTTGAATTTAAATATTCACTGCTTAAATATTCAACCATGCTCAATTTCAGCCCATTAAAAATGCAAACCCTAAAAATACATTGCATTAAAATAGAAGGAGGGTTAATGCAATGCATTTTTTTTCAAGTAGTACAATTCAACAGGCTTTTTGTATTTGCCATTATTTTACTTCCATAATCCTGTTTATTTTCTTTATTTAATAAAACCACAGTTTTGTTTCGATAGTAAGTGGACACATAAAAAAGTAGACATTTAACAGTTTATTTTTTCATATTACTTAAGTCTGTATTACCATAAATAACAGAGCTTTTTAAGTCTATTTTGCTGCTATGTGAAAAAAATCCAGCAAAACACGCCGGCACGTTTGTCGACCCCAGAGGTTTAACAAAACTAAGGCAAGTAAAACAGTCAGGTTTACATTTTAGACACACATGAAGGGATAGAAAAGTCCTCGGGACTTGCTTGGTACCGCATCACTCGTAAGACGCAACGTAAGGCTGAAGTCAACCATTTCTCCAGTTCTCGAAGCTCTCTCTCGCTACAAAAATGCTTGCTACACACACACAGTTTAGATGTGTCCATGGTTGATGGCTAGAGTCTAGCCCTGGCAGCATCATTGGGAAAGATATGCGACGCACTGAAACTTGCCCTCATCTACTGCACGATTTCACAATTTGACACATCTGTCACTGGAAAGATGTGGTGTCATGAATAATTAAGAGACAATGTCTTCTCATTGGATAAGGAAACTCATATGCATATACGTACTTGCATGCACACACAAATTCTTGCTTGTTGGCACTGTAACAAAAAAACCAAGAACTCCTCCTGTTTCCTCAGATGTAAAGAGCAAAACTTCACCAAGGTCAAACTTGAAATTCCGCTTCGACAAGCTGAGCCACTCCACAGTATGTACCCTGTCCTCGAATTACCTTTAATATTGAGGGTGTGTATGTGTGTGTATTTTGATATTGCTTTCAAAGTCGATTGTTTTATGGTACATCAGATTAATAACAACGGTGATGTTGAAATAATAACAGCACGTGTGTTCCTCTGGGTTTTATGGTGAAAGTGCATTTGTTAGATCTATAACAGTACATTTGTTTCCATTTGCAAAGTGAATAATGAAAATATATTCACTGAGAATAATCCTTTCTTTCAGGGTCATTAGGTCGGACAGAAGCCACTGCATGGACAAAAGGTACTTTGCATGTTACTGTATGCACACATCTTTAAGCTAGGGATGAGCAGATGCATGTTGAAATATCAAAACTTTCGATACCCAATTTTTGCTATTACCTTTTATTTATTTACAGTGAAAATAAATGGATATCATAAGCTTTGAGGTGAAAAAATAATTGTTTTAGCAAGTACAGCATGTTTGTTTTGGATAGGAACTATTTCGGGGGAATATGAATGCTTTAATGGATTCTGAAACATGTTCTGTTGTTGTTAACAAATGAACAACAAAAAAAAAGGAGACAGATCATTTTCAATTTAGGCCTTTCTAAATGATTGTTAAGTAGCTTAAGTTACCAATATTAGCTTCTCTGAGGTGGCTACCAGTGGATTTCAGGATAAAATACACAATTAAAATACACACACACACACACACACAAAAAAAAAAAGTTACATTTCAGGTGTCCAAGCACTTTTGAACACGAAGAACAAGAGTTTGATAATTGCTGAAATAAAATAAATTATAAATATAGATAGGAAATATTAGAAATGTTGCATTGGCATCTACTGTAACTGAAATTAGTTTATTGAAGTACTAAAATGACTAAAACTCAAATAAAATAGAAATATGAAAGATAATAATATAATTGTATATAAATAATACTATAATAACACTGATTTCCATTTAATAGAGGTTTAGCAGAGATATTTCCATTTACTATATCTCCCTTTCTTAGTTTTGTATGTACTTTAATGAATCTGTACACTTTTAACGTACATAATTTACCCTGTGTGTCTGTTCTTTGTCTTTCTAGGCAGTGGTAATGAATGGATTTTTATAGATTGGAAGAAAAAAGGGACCATTTTCTCTAGCCGATGCAACAGTTATTACTGTTCAACATATTACACAACTGAACACCATGTTAAGAACCGATCTTACAATCTCTCACAAAAAGGCTTAGAGGACACCAGTCCTAGTAGAAAAAGCAACAAATGTCTCTGTTATTCCAACATTTTAAATGTAGTGCTCAAACAAGTGTTGAAAACTGTCCTTGCCTATCTGCGATTGCTTTCTCCTATTCAGATGCTCATTATTAACACAGCCACTTGAAATACTTGAACAGTACAGTCATTAAATGTTACAAGAGAAAAGGACTATACAAAACTGCATTATCAGCTCCTGTACAGCTACTATACCCTGTCTGTTGCAGAGACTACGGGTTTATTGGAGTCTTGTAACGCATCGCCCATCAGTGTAAGCCTTAAAATACTCTTCACTTTAGAGAACCGTGCACTGCTGAGAAATGAGTTGGTTCTGTTATTTTCCAGTGATGTGAGAAGAGATCGAAATCTTTCCTGAGGGAAACCAAAGATAAAGATTTACCACAGGTTATTGATGGTAGAAATATAAAGGTTTTAACAACAACAACAAACATGCCATTGTGTGGTTGACAGACACATTTTATTATATTTTAAAGCAAAATCTTTTCAGTATACATTTAGTTCTTTGAATGAAGACTACAGTAAATTTGTTTACTGGGTTGGCAGCTCCTGCTGACTTTATTGAACAGGTATATTAGCAGAATTGAATTAAAAAAAATAGTTTCCATATATATACTGTATATATATATATATATATATATATATATATATATATATTTAAATTATTAAATAAAAGGTCCTAAAACTAGCATAAATGCATGTTCCAAACCACGTTTAAAAAAGCTACTAGAACGCCTGTTTCACACATACTCTGTTTGCTGCATTTTAAATTAAAAGCAGTGCCATCCATTATGGCCTTGTTGACGTAAGGTGTAGTTTTCCTTTCTTCACACTGGGCAAAAAAGCTGTACGTTGACTGTGAAATCAACCCGGTCTCATCCCAAGACGTCATATAACTGACGTTTTGGGACGTCTTTTGACCATACGTCAATATTCGCCTTTTTAGGGCCCCCTTAAACGTCGGTAGATGAGGTTATGGGATCCTAACTCTACCTCATACCTAAACCTAACCCTAAACCTAACCCGTCACCTAACTGACGTTAAAGGTAAAGCGTCAGTTGTATGACGGCCCGGGATCGCCATCTACCGACGTTTAAGGGGGCCCTAAAAAGGCGGATATTGACGTATGGTCAAAATACGTCCCAAAACGTCAGTTATATGACTTTTTGGGATGAGACTGTGTTAGTGAAATACAGTCCTCAACGCTTGTAGTGTGAAAGTCAGGCTTAATCGTGGCTTAATCTAAGCACTGTCTGTGAAACCAGGCCAGAAAACAGAGACAAATCAACATGGTGGATGTACAAAAATGAATTTCCATTTTTCAACCATGGTTGGCAGAAGAATGTTTTGAATGAATTTCTTTTTTTTCTTTTTTTTTCGGAAATTGTGTTATTTATTTACAAATGTGTGTCTCCTCATTCCTCATGAATCAGTTGTTAGTTTTCAGCGGTACTTATTGGTGAGGGCATTAGACTGCAGAGAGCGAGTTAAATATTCTTGTACAATAGTAAGAACATTCACATAAAATGTGATGGCATATATGTTTGTACTGCCATAATTTATTGCTTTTAAAAGTTGTTGATGTTACGTAAAAAAAAATACAGAGTCAAAAACAAATTAAAAGATGATGTATATGTATATTTGTTTATGGCATGTGCCATTAAGAATTTATTATAAAATAAAATGTATTTTGTGTCAAATAGCGGTCTGTTGTCTAAATCAATCGAAAAAATTTGTCCAATGCCATTTATTTCAGGTACAATCACACAATCCATATACACAAAGCACATCTTACGGGCATCTCTGGATAATAAACACCATCATAAATGGCATAACAACTATATTAAATCGAAGTGTAACATTGCTAAAATTCACATTTCAAAGGATCACAAGTTTGATATATTCTCAATCGTGTTGTGTCTAACATTGCAGCTGTACAGCCACTATGTTTACAGTCATGTTTGTTCTGGTATTCAAAAATACCCGCAGCCACATGTGAGATAGAAATGTAAGATGAAGTCTTTGTTCAGGAGAAATGCACAGAGGAGTAAACAGTTGGCTCAGGCACTTGTTTTGGACAATCGTTCTGCCGTCTTGAATTTTTCAATGTAACTTCTGCATACACCAACTGCATAAATAATGACAAGAAAAAGATCACATTCAAAGGTTATGAACAGAAAAATCTCATTTCCCTTGATATTTTGACATACAAGAGGTAATTGTACTATGAAAATATCCTGTAAGTTTCAGAACTAAAAAATTCCAGTCCAACCTGCTTTTATTGAAATCAAGCTCAGAAAACGACTCGTTTGGGATTTAGACCACCCCTACATAACATCAACGCCCACTTCTACATCATTGCCTCTTTGGCCCCGCCCACCAATTAGAACATCATGTAGTAATAAATATGTGACTCAAACAAAGGATTACTCCAACAACAAAACCATAGAGACGTTTCTCGGGATTACAAGGCGTCTTTGTATTACCAACCTTGTGATCCATTAAAAGGATAGTTCACCCAAAAATGAAAATTAGCCCATGATTTACTCATCCTGAAGCCATCCTACAGTAGGTGTATATGACACCTATTTCTAAAAAAATTCTTATTTCTATAGAAACACGACTATGTGTTATGTTAGGCAGCCCATCCCAATCTGTGTGTCAATCCCTAGCCACACGGACACAGGCCTGGCAAGTGTCGAGTTGGGTCATAAACACCATAAAGTGCGGCTACTCGCTCCAATTCACTTGCAGGTCCCCGAAATTTCAGGCAGTTGTCGAAACTTCAATGAGAAGCAACGTGGGTCACATGCTTCTTACCAAAATACTAAATCTGTTTAAAAGGGGCGATAGACATCTCACAGTTGTAAGTCTTCTGTGCCGAGAGGAATCTGAATCATTCCCTTCTGAATCTTGCTGAGCTGGAGATCGTGAGTATTAGCGGTCCATGAGCTAGCTGAGCAACTTTACAACTCTCTATGGGCTTCTCCCTTGACTTTATGCCTCCACGTCCCTCCGACTGCACACAAGCTTCTACTTCTGTCTATATGGTAATTTCTCTATGCGACAGAGAGTCGCGTGTTATGGCGCAATCGTTAGCCTATTTTTACAAAAACTGCTTCTACGGGGCCATAATGTAAGATACGAGGTAATGGAGCCTTTTATACATTGCCGTGTTTCTTTAGAAATAAATAATAGACAAATGGAGTCTTTAAATGCCTCAGATGTAAAGTTATTTGCTGTCAAAGTGACGCAGAAAATGAATGGGAGTCAATGGAATGGCAACAGCAGGTGAAGGGTTGTTAGACAATGGCGGCCCCCGGGGAGACTTCAGTTTCCGGCTGGTGGATTGCCCCCTTGGCTAAAAGTTAGGCAGGCAGTCTATGCATAAGGGTGAATCACGGTTGTTTAAGAACCCTGACTCCCTGGCAGGCTCAGGGCTGGTACTACGAGGGTGTGACCATGGGAGTAGTTTTCGCCTTCCACATGAATTAAGTTTTATAATATGGAGATGCCTTTCCTGCAGGCGAAGGTAGGCTACTTTCTGTATGACAAATATATTACTGTGCACAGTCACACACACATATATATATATAAAACACGCTTTGGCCGGTTATAATTCCTATACTAATAAACCAGACTGTGTCTGGTTTTATTTGTATATTATGTTGGTTTTGCTACTAACACATGTGTATATTGTTCTAGACCCGATGGTGTCCGGTCTGTAATATACTTTGGTTTCTGGCTTGTTCTATGAGCTCAGGGGTCCTGAGTTTTTCAGTGGCGGCCAGTTACTTTGGGTGCGCCATTTTGCATGGCGTCCCCACTGTGTATAGCTACGTAATAGCTACTCGTTTACTATCGTAAGTATTGTGTAGCCGGCTGCACTATAGTAACCTGGCGAGTTGTCGCTTCAGTCATCGAAACCTGCTATAATGCCGAATTCGGGGGGAATAATATACTGTAGGCTGAGGCCACGCCCCCTTGACAGGCTCTGACGTGTGTTGACGTAGAGCTAGCCCATTCGCCCGCGCCATTGAATCTGCAGCTGCAAATGCGTTTAACAAATAAGCTTCAGTAAATCGAGGAAGGGAGTTTCCCCACTTCGAAAAGGTACACGATACTCTAGGGCAGTGTTTCCCAACCCTGTTCCTGCCGGCACACCAACACTGCGTGTTTTCTTTGTCTCCTTAATCAAACACACCCGATTCAACCCATCAGCTCATTAACCCACCTGATAATGAGCTGATGGGTTGAGTCAGGTGTGTTTGATAAGGGAGACAAAGAAAACACGCAGTGTTGGTGTGCCGCCAGGAACAGGGTTGGGAAACACTGCTCTAGGGAACCGAGGTTACGATAGTAACCGAGTAGTTTTTGAGATGGCGGGGACGTTGAAAATTATTTTTATTATTTTTATTTTATGTAAAAATTTTGATAAAATTGGGCCTCAGAGAACATTAATAAATACAATTTTAAAAAAATGCTGTCCGTAACTGCTTTAAACAAACCAGAAAGTACAAGAAACGGAGGTATTTACTTCCTTTTTTGGTTTCACTCTCGTTGCAACTAGAAAAAAGAGAAAACAATAGGCAGATAAACAACCAGATAGATAGAGGAGTTGATATGACACATCTACAGAATAGAGAGTTGCAGGAATATTTCTCTTACAGGAAGTGTAGGAGCGAGGCGGGACAGGGGGTGGTGGTGGATGATCCCGGGTCAGACACCAAACTAACCCCAGAACAAGAGGAAAGCACATTGAGGCACTAAGGCATAGCAGAATTCTATGAGAGAGGTTTCTTCCCGATGAGTCTACCGATGCTGTCCAGAAAGAAAGACATTAATTGGATTTGATCCAGCTAAAGGTTGTTGATCCCATTCATAGTTTCTCAATTCATTTTTTTTTTTTTTTTTTTGCGTATACAAATTTCAAAACAATAGCATGTCCAGAATACACATACCTGCAGCAGTCACATTAACATATGTCACATGCCCATTGCTAGTTAAGTCCCTTTGAGTCCAGGTTATCTCACACTTGTATGATCCAGCATCTGACTGGTTGATGTTGTGAATGTGGACTAACAGATGTGTGCTATTGGCTGTTGAGCTGTAATTAGACAGCTTGATTCGTTCTGAGGGGGTGAGGCGAGTAAATCCTGTGCTCTGCATTTCCTGGAAAACCCATCCTCCAGTCCAGCTAAGGACCCCACACTGTACTTCACAGCTCAACTTGAGACTGCTTCCCTCTGGAACAAACTTGTGAGCACGACTTGCTCGAACAAAGCACAGTTCACAAGCTGAAATCAGAGTATAACAAGCAAGTTGTTATAGGCTGTAGGCAACTATTAAAGCGAGAGTTTTAAAAAATGAAAATTCTGTCATCACTAACACACCCTTGTGTTGTTTTAGACCTCTAGATTTTTTTTTTTTTTTTTTTTTTACCTCCATATTGGACTTCAAGGGTGCCCTACAACTATTTGGTTATATTATTCAAAATATATTCTTAATTGTTTTCAACAGACTAAACTCATACAGGTCAAAAACAACACGGCTAAATGATGAAAGAATTTTTAATTTTGGGGTGCAAAAACATTAAAAAGAAAAGTTTGAGAACTCTATCTTTATTAAGAAAAAAGTTAAATAGACTTGGAAGTACCGCAATTTTAACTATGAATTTGAGAAGTGACTTACCTTTTAACATACACAAAAATGCCAGAAACGTCAAGGAACACCTGTAATCGCTTTTCATCATTTACAATTTTTCCATACACAGTCGACTGTCCTCGCAGCCACAAAACAGGTTCGGACGCGCTTGACAGTTAACAGCTGATTCTTCTGCCACGTCTCCGCAGTAACAACAAAAGTCACTTTTAGTTCTTCTAAACTCTTTCTTGCTCCGTCAAAACCCACTCGCTTTATTCACTGCCGGGAAAGTACTCTCAGATTAATTACTTCTGGCAGCTTCAGCCGCATTGTTAATGTGCACGGAAAAGCAAGTTTGCCACAAGCTATAGAAGCTGCATCATATCCTTCCTGTTGGAGCAGTCAATCTCAATCACTGCTGACTTCCCATTATAAATGAACCGAAACTAGGAGAAGAATGATGGAATCTAAACTAACATTACTACTTGGTGAATCCTTCCTTGCAATATGTATGTCTGTCCAGCTGTGGTAAGGCAAATTTTGCAGTGGGCAGGAAATTTAACTAAAGATAAAAGGGTTTCTTTCAGTTTTAAAGGGGTCTATGTATTTATTATGTGCTAACACATGCAACACACAAGCACTGCTCTCTGTGCTGGGAGCAGAAGTGCATTTGCATTTAAAGGGACACACACAAACACAGTGTGTTTTTGCGCCCCCTCAAAAAGTAAATTTCTTAACATGCTATATATTAGTATATGTGGGGTATTTTGATATAAAACTTCACATACACACTCTGGGGACATCAAAGACTTATTTTACATCTTGTGAAAAGGGCACTGTACCATGCCGTTAAAATACAGTTTTTTAAAATACATATTTTCTTTTCTTTGTGTTGTTGCTGTTTAGAGTTTCTTCCCATACTGCAAATAATAATTAGCCTGGGAAAACCCAGACAACTTCCGGCAAGTTTAGATTTGCTCTGCAAGTTAGCCGGCAAAGAGATTTCCTTAATAAATGGAGAATGAAATCTCTGCCCCTTTACCAATCAGAGTGCGCGCTGACACGGAGTAAAAAGCCTTGTTTATACTCGACGCGTCCATCTTTGCGCGGCAAAAATGATGCGTTTGGTGTCCAAGACCCCATTTCGCTTGGCTGTGTGCACGGCTTTTTCTGTAACAGCGCAAAGGTTTTTTTGATAAGGTTTTGTTTACGGTGTGTGATTTATTTACTGGAAAGCACATTCACTTCTAGTTGTCTTGATGTTAATTTTAAATAAATGTAGAGCAAGTAGCTAATCAGTGTCTGGTCATTTATTCAAACTAATTTGTTATATAACAGACGAACGTCGCTCTGCATACTCCTTCATCGCTCTGATTGGTTTTAGGTCTATCCAATTGCGCCCAGAGGCATTTGAGCTACTTCCGTTGGTGGTGGCCCTTTGGAAATTATTTGTCTATGAAGCTTTGCCAGACCATAACTCAGTTACAACTGAGAATGGTCTGGTTTTAACCAGGCTAAATAATAATAATAATTTGCTTAGTTTTTTTTTGTCATTTACTGGTAAAATATTCAAACATCCTTAAACTAAGATATCTTTATGTGAGAAGAAAAACTGCATAGGATACAAAGAGTGAATAAAGAATATACACTCACCTAAAGGATTATTAGGGACACCTGTTCAATTTCTCATTAATGCAATTATCTAATCAACCAATCACATGGCAGTTGCTTCAATGCATATACAGTCGTGCTCAGAATTAATGGCACCCCTGATAAATATGATGAAAACTGGCTGTAAAAAATAATTCTGCATTGTTTATTCTTTTGTTCTTCCATTCAAAAAATTGGCAAAATTCAAACCTTTCATTGAAGCAAAAGAATTGAACGTGGGGGTAAATCACACTATGAAATAAATGTTTTTCTCCAAAATACTCTGCCCATTATTATTGGCACCCCTAGAATTTTTTATGAGAAAAATATCTCTGAAGTACATTCCCATTAATATTTAATCTTTTAAGCAAATCAGGGTGACTAGGAACTTGTTTCAAGGAGTTTAAATATGAGGAAGCACAAAGGTCAAATTCCCTGAATCATCCATCACAATGAATAAAATCAAAAAACATGGTTCTGATGTGCATCAAAAGATTGTTAGAAATAGAAAAATAGAAAGTCGATGTAAGAAAATAGCTAAAGAATTGAAAATCCCCATTTTGACCATCAGGACAATAATTAAGAAGTTATAATCAACTAAAGAAGATGTTATGATTCTGCCAGGAAGAGGACGTGTGTCTATATTTTCTTAATGGACGGTGAGGATGAAAGTTTGAGTGGCCAAAGACTCTTCAAGGATCACAGATGGAGAATTGCAGAGATTAGTTGAGTCTTGGGGTCAGAAAACCTAAAAAAAAAAAAAAAAAAAATCAGACAACCCCTACATCCCCACATGTTGTTTGAGAGGGTTTCAAGAAAAATGCTCCTCGCTCATCCAAAAACAAACTCCAGCACATTCAGGTGTCAGACACGACTGGATCTTCAAACGGCACAGGGTTCTGTGGTCAGATGAGACTAAAAAGAGGCTTTTTGGCAGCAAACCCAGCAGATGTGTTTGGTGCAAACAGGGATGAAGAGTACCCCATGCCTACGGTTAATATACTGCTGGATCTTGTATGTTGTGGGCCTATTTATTTGCTGGAGGTCCTGGACATCTTGTTCAGATACATGGTATTATGGATTCTATATCAAATACAAAAAGATAAAAAATAAAAACCTGACGCCTTCTGCTAGAAATCTTATAATGGGCCGTGGTTGGATCTTCCATCAGGACAACGATCCAAAACAAAAATCAAAAATCAACACAAAAATTAGTTACGGAGCACAAAATGAAGCTTCTGCCATGACCGTCCCAGACCCTGACCTGATGAGTGGAGTGAACTGAAGAGATGAAGCACCAACATGGATCTGGGAATCTGCAGGATCTGGAGAGAGTCTGTATGGAGGAATGGTCTCTGATCTCTGGTCAGGTGTTCTCCAAACTCATCAGGCATTATAGGAGAAGACTCAGATCTGTTATCTTGGCAAAAGTTCACAGATCTGAGGTTGCAAAAAGTTTTTAATAACAGGGTGCCAATAATTATGGCCAGAGTGTTTTGGAGAAAAACATTTATTTCATAGTGTGATTTACCCCCACTTTCAATTCTTTTGCTTCAATGAAAGGTTTGAATTTTGCCAATTTTTTGAATGGAAGAACAAAAGGATAAACAATGCAGAATTATTTTTTACAGCCAGTTTTCATCATATTTACCAGGGGTGCCATTAATTCTGAGCACGACTGTAGGGGTGTGGTCCTGGTCAAGACAATCTCCTGAACTCCAAACTGAATGTCAGAATGGGAAAGAAAGGATTTAAGCAATTTTGAGCGTGGTGCCAGACGGTATGGTCTGAGTATTTCACAATCTGCTCAGTTACTGGGATTTTCACGCACAACCATTTCTAGGGTTTACAAAGAATGGTGTGAAAAGGGAAAAACATCCAGTATGCGGCAGTCCTGTGGGCAAAAATGCCTTGTTGATGCTAGAGGTCAGAGGAGAATGGGCCGACTGATTCAAGCTGATAGAAGAGCAACTTTGACTGAAATAACCACTCGTTACAACCGAGGTATGCAGCAAAGCTTTTGTGAAGCCACAACACGCACAACCTTGAGGCAGATGGGCCAAAACAGCAGAAGACCCCACCGGATACCACTTAACTCCACTACAAATAGGAAAAAGAGGCTACAATTTGCAAGAGCTCACCAAAATTGGACAGTTGAAGACTGGAAAAATGTGATGAGTTTGATGAGTCTCGATTTTTGTTGAGACATTCAGATGGTAGAGTCAGAATTTGGCATAAACAGAATGAGAACATGGATCCATCATGCCTTGTTACCACTGTGCAGGCTGCTGCTGGTGGTGTAATGGTATGGGGGATGTTTTTTGGCACACTTTAGGCCCCTTAGTGCCAATTGGGCATCGTTTAAATTCCACAGCCTACCTTGAGCATTGTTTCTGACCATGTCCATCCCTTTATGGCCACCATGTACCCATCCTCTGATGGCTACAGTACTTCCAGCAGGATAATGCACCATGTCACAAAGCTCGAATCACTTCAAATTGGTTTCTTGAACATGAAAATGAGTTCACTGTACTGAAATGGCCCCACAGTCACCAGATGTGCATCCCACAAATCTCCATCAACTGCAAGATGCTATCCTATCAATATGGGCCAACATTTAAAGAATGCTTTCAGCACCTTGTTGAATCAATGCCACGTAGAATTAAGGCAGTTCTGAAGGAGAAAGGGGGTCAAACACAGTATTAGTATGGTGAGCGTAAAAATGAGCAAATGATTTCCAGATACCTTACTGAAAAATAAAAATAAATACATATATTTCTATTATATATATATATATATATATATATATATGCTGGCAGATACTATCATTATCTGTCACTGAAATTCCTTGAAGAAAAACAATAGTTCGTTCTATTTTCTGCAGCCACATGGTGGTGCTCAAATCTAAAAATTTTTCACAGCAGTCAGAGGGGAAATCTGGATATTGCAGAGGCATAAAAAGGCATGTGCAGGCAATTACACAGCTGCTGCTGGAGATAAAAGCTGAGCTTAAACACAACCTGCTGCTGCTCTGTTGCTTTAAGATGAACGACGTTCACAATGTCTTCATATACACTAGATTACACTTGATCAATTTTTTTGTTAAGAAGTAGAACTTAGTAATTGCAATATGGAAAAAGGCTTTAAATATAAATATAAAATGTATTATTATTATTTTTGAGGTCCTCTGTAATAGCGCATCACTTTTTAGATATAGTTACCATCAGATCTCATCAAGCCGAAAAACTTCGCCCTTATAGTTATGTCAGCCCAACATAAGTGTGAAAAATGCATGCTCTAGAATTAGGCTCAGTTGTAAACTGTTTACCAGTCAGTTAAGCCAGAATATATATATATATATATAGGCTACAGTATACACTGTGTATATATATATATATATATATATATATATATATATATAGTGTGTGTTTGTACTGTATGTACAGTATTCAAATAGGCCTTTTTCTGGGATATACATTTGAATGACAAATTAAAGGATATATATATATATATATATATATATAATTAGTTTAATAATAAGGTCAATAAAAAATATAAGATAATATGGATTTTTAACATTTTGATCTGCAAATGATAACTTCTCACTAATTTGAAAGTGACTTAGCCTATGGCATCCTATGGCATCATATTCATACACGTTTAACAACATGAGGGTTAGAAAACAATGTGAGAATTTACATTTTTGTGGCGAAATTATCCCTTTAAACAACAAATGCATAATTTCAGCAAAGGGAAGCACCCTCAGAAGGTTCCTTTGAGCTGTGCAATTG